TCCGATTGTTGTTGACAGGTTGGGCTCTTAAACCACCAGTCCCTTCGTCGGTTCGAAAATACTCGGCCTCCGAGCTTTCAGGAGGCCGAAACGAAACGACGGCCGCCGATCAGATTGATCAACGTCGGACTCGGCCTCCTGAAAGTTCAGGTACTGCCCAGGACTTGTCGAAACCGGACGCCAAAGGTACTGGTGGTTTAACATTTCTTGTTGAGAAAGTCCAGGAAACGACTTTTACTGGACCATGCCGCAAGACCTCCACTAGGGACGCCTTTTCTTGGCCTTGGCACTAAAAATAGATCTCATGTTGTATCTGTTCTGAACTTCTGATCATCAGCTTAAAAATATCTGATCCATCATGCATGGCCCATCTTGTCATTGGTATTAGAAAAAAACGCAAAAAAAAAAAAACAAAAAAAAAAAACCGGGTTGGGCTCTATTGAAACGGTTTTCACCTTTTAGCAGTAGCGAATGCAGATCCCAGGGCTCGATCCCTAGTTCTGTGTCGACCCCGAGTGTTTGAACTCGTGGCCTGTGTTTTGACCGTTGTGGTTGTCTGTCGTAGGTCTGTCGAGTAGGAGTCACAGCCCTGTAGAGGTCGTAGCTGTAGGGATCCTGAAGGGTCAAGGTCGTAGCTGCTACAGTCCTGAGAGATCAAGGTCGTAGCTGCTACAGTACCCGAAAGGCCAAGTCCACAGACTTCCGGAAAGGTCCCGGAAGTGGCCTTTCAGAGTGGCCTCACGTTTAGGCAGAGGCAAGTGGGCAAGTGGTGGAGCCAACCTCAGTACGTTGGCAGTACGACTGCAGTCTCAGTACGTTGGCAGTACGACTGCAGTGAGTCTGCGGTGCAAACCTATGCAGTCAGCGGTACCGGTCCAGTCAGTCCCAGTCCAGTCCAGCAAGTACCATGAGGGACTGTGTGCACCATGGGCCCGGTGGAAAAGGGCAGACCAGCGAGTTACAGAAGTATAAATCAAGAGGCAGCGCCCAGTCATTGATTGATTCCTAGGTAAGCCATGCGGAAGCGCTGCTATAGCGACTTGTGCGAGGTGGTCTGCAGTGAGCCCGGAGACGAAGTGGGCGAGAAGGAAGCTTAGCCATAGCGATAGGGTAGCAGCGGCCATAGCCACCATAGCTGTAGATGTGTGCGGGTGTGTGTGAGTGTAAAGAGTGTGATGTGTGTGGGATATCCAGGGTGATCCTGTGTGCGAACAGCAGTGTCGAGTAAGTGACAAACAGAGAGTTGTACAGGCGATGTGCTGCCATAGCCAGTTGAAGTGAACTTGTATCTAAGATGCGTTCTGGGTTACCATATCTCTGAGTTCTGAGTGGGCGCTCGATGCCAGTTTGCTGCGCAACCTGTTTGCATGCATGTGAAGTGTGAATGAAAGCGAGTCTGATTGCACTATGCACTTTCAACTGACGGAATCGACCGATGACAGTTTCAAAATTATGAAATTATGAATGAATAGGTTGATTGATGAGAAGTCTATAGAAGTCTATAGAAGGAATATATTGATGGGCCCTTGGTTGTTGAACTGATCATCTGTACGTGGAAGTCGGCTTGGATAGTGATGACCGGGATGGCATACAACAATACGACAATCCTGTAGCCTTATTTCTTCACTGTCGGATTCGGCACGTGAACCAAGTTGTACTGAACTCCCCCCCCCCAAAAAAAAAGAAATCAGCTAATTCATCGCATAGCAACAGCACCGTCTGTAACGTTGGCAGTGTGACCACAAAAAGTAGAAAAGATGTACACCAAATCTGTAGCTGCATTTCCTTGTTTTTTTCGTTTCCCCTCATTTTGAGACTCAGTCACTCCACCCAAGAGCCTACCGTCTTCACCTGAATAAAACGCCCGGTCATTATCGCTGCATCTGGACCGAAAGTTGTGCCAAATACAGCGATAATGACCGGGCGTTCTATTCGGGTGAAGACGGTAGCGCAGTGGGTTACACCGATGAACTGTTGAAATACGGACCCCAGTTCGAATGCAGATGAAGGAAGTCTACGAGTTAAACCAAATATTTTAGACTCAGTCACTCCATGGATCGATTGATGGATGTGGACAGACGGATGGACTAGATATAAGTTGGGTGAATGTGTGATCGACTGTCTGTCGTTGAACCGCGATGCGTTGGCTCTACAGGCCGGCTACTGGAGGAGCGAGCGAGAGTTTGTTCATGAAGTCAATCTGCTGGGAAAGCTCAGTCATAAGAACTTGGTGATGCTAAAGGGCTACTGCATTGAAAATAATCGCTTCTTTTTGGTCTACGAGTTTGTACACAGAGGGACTCTGCATTCTTACATTCACAAGAGTATGTGCCAATTGCTATCTCCGAACGTCCTCCTCTGCCACACAACTCATCCCACTCAATTCTCCATGCCTATACCCCCAAAAGCGGTGTACGTAATGGTTCCCCGTCTTTCCCCCGGAACACAACACAACGTACCGTCATCTCGACCGTATCCGGTCGGAAAGATAGCTTGTATTACGTTCGTAATCAGGGTGCGTTGTGTTGGATATGGGAGGAAGGTAGCTGCAGATGTCCTCCTCCACAACACACAACTCATCCCAAACTCTTCTCTTCCCTCATTGACTGAGACATTGCTTGTGGTGATTCGACAAAATCCCCCGAATTTAGGGCCTTCCAATAACCATATCTCCTTCAGCAACCCCCGGATGTGTTATACCCCATGTTAGTCAACCCCACCCTCTCTGCCTCATTGTGGTGCTCAGTTTTTGTGATTTATAGACCACTCGATGATTGTGATTTGATCTGTGTCTGCGGGATATTGAAAACTCCCCACCTCCATGACTGCTCTCTCTCTCTCTCTCTCTCTCTCTCTCTCTCTCACCTTAAAAAAGAAAAAGGAAAACGAAAAGAAAGAAGAGGTAGCCTAGTAGCAATTTCCGTCTTTGCAGTTTTTGTAGTTTACACAACCACTACCTACCTTCTTCCCCCGAATACAACGTACGGTCATTATAGCTGTATCTAGACTGAAAGATACCTCAAATACAGATATAATGACCGTACGTTGTATTCAGGCGAAGAAGGTAGCCCATGTGGCTGAGTGGTACACACATGTAACTGTCAATAAACAGGTCAGGAGTTCGAACCCTGACGGGATGAGGTGACGTGGGTAGAATAAGGCTAGGGTCCAACCCTCTGTATTACAAAAGAAGCGGTCCCCACCACTACCTCAAAAATTAGGCCAACCTTTGCTGACAGAAGAAAAGCTTTCGGCCTTTCCAAGTGTCGAATAATCTCAAATTGTCAATCCATCGAGCCAGCGGAAAAAGACAAAAAAGGGGTAAACAGACCAGGAGTCGGAATCCTGACTGAATGAGATAAGGTGGGTAGAATAAGGCTAGGGGCCCACCCCCTGTATTTCGAAAGAAAAGGGCCCACCACCTCCACCTCCTCAAAAATTAGGCCAACCTTTGCTGACAGAAGAAAACCTGCAGCCTTCAAGTGTCAGTCCAACCAACCAGCTGAAAAAAGAAAAGGGGTGGGTCTCGCGGTAACCGAGGAGGTCGTAAATGGGAAGGGTAGTTGTGGGTTAAGGGCATTCTTGCAAGGAGAAGTTTCTCAACTCCTTGAGGGTAAATATCTAATTTGGCAAAAAGATGCTTGGGTATGCCCCTAACAATCGAAATGCAGGGGGGTGGGTTTCCCGGTTTTACCGAGGAGCTGGTAAATGAAAATGGAGGCTGTTTCGTGTCAGATTTGTGCACACTTTTCCCCTTTTTTTTTTTGGGGGGGGGGGGGGGGGGGGGGGGGGGGGGAGGGGGAGGATTTGTGCACACTTTTCCCCTTTGTTGGCCTGAAGGAGGCTCTGGCGATGTAGTGACATTGCCCTGTGCTGAGTGGGCTGCTCTGAGCATGGGATAATGGTCCTCGCCTCAGGACTCCTGAAACGGAAAAGAATGCGAGTGAATCTTCGCCAGAAGCTGGCAGAAAACATCCGACGGTGTGAATAGGAATGGATGAATCCAGCCGCCTCCTGCGGGAAGTTGCAACCGCATTGGTTTTCCTTTTGTGAGTGGTGTGGCGAGGCCCAATATGTGATCCATCAGCCGATCAAACGAACGTCCTAATTCTTGGCATTTCGCATGAGTCGCGACATTGCTGTAAATGTGGACGGAAATCAAATTGGTGGGAAGCCTTTAGGCCAGCAGGACGAAGGTAGTTCCTGTTGATCAAATGCCCTCCCGTACATCCTTCATACAATGAAGCTCGCCAAGTGATCTAAGGTGCAGAGAACTGGTCCATTGTTTAGGATATTAGATCACCACTATACGACAAATGCCTGTGAAATTGGATACTGAGCGGAGAGGATGGACCCAATGGAAGCACAGAGTGGAAGGACAGAATAGGAGGGGAGAATAGGAGGAGAGAATGCTAGGAGAGGATGGGAGGAGAGAATGGTGGGAGAGGATGGGAGGAGAGGATGGGAGGAGAGAATGAGAGGAGAGGATGGGGGGAGAGAATGAGAGGAGAGGATGGGAGGAGAGAATGAGAGGAGAGAATGAGAATGGGAGGAGAGAATAGGAGGAGAGAATAGAAGGAGAGAAAAGGAGGAGAGGATAGGAGGAGAGGAGGAGAGAATAGGAGGAGAGAATGAGAATGAGAGGAGAGAATGGGAGGAGAGAATGAGAGAAGAGAATGAGAGGAGAGGACGAGACGAGAGAATGAAAGTAGAGAATGCGAGTAGAGAATGAAAGGAGAGAATGAGAGGAGAGAGTGGGAGAAGGAAGGGAAGGAGAGAATGGATGGCACTGACGATCTGATAAAAGTTAGGCGGTTAGCAAATTCACCACCCTAATTCTTGGCAATCTGCAGGAATATGAAAGCTGGTGGTGTATTTGTTCTGGGTTGAAAATGACTTATTATTTTTCCAAATTTTCCATGATAGTGGCAGGATGAAGGGCGATCCTGTCCTGCGATTCTGCGAATGCTCTTCCACTGTTCTGTACGTGAAGTGATCATGCACACCTAGAGTTTCCCGCGCCAAGAGGCACACTGACAATCCAGATGGCTGTAATGACAGATTGGAGGACAGAGTGGACAGTGCTCAGGACATTATTATGAAAAAGGGCGAACAAATTTGGCGAATCGCACCGTCCTAATTCTTGGCAATGTGAAAGAGTGGCGATGTTGCTGTAAACATGGACGGAAATTGACTTCAATCTCTTGGTAGTCTTTAGCCCAGCATGATGAAGCCAATTCCTGTCAGGCAAATGCTCTACCACACAGTCCTGTTCTCAGGTCCGTCGACCATTCCTTTTTTTATTTCTATTTTTTTTATGTTTGGATAATTTGGACCCTTTTTGATTTATGTGTCTCATCCTTGTGCATGGGCCATGCTAATCTTCTCTGGATCATCGGTCCGATTTTTCATGGATGTCCTGAAGGACAACATCACACACACACACACACACACACACACACACACACACACACACACACACACACACACACACGCACACGTGCGCGGGTGTAGTAGTGTATATTTCGACACACACACACACACGCACGTGCGTGCGCGAGCACGGGTGTAGTAGTGTATATTTCGATGTTCTAGCGGAAGATTCATTCGATTTTGCTCATCCTATCGATGGAAGTAGCGTGAGGCCAGTCGCGGGGTTGAAGACTTACCTGTTGGCTGGTGCATTGCTCATCCTACCGATGGAAAACTCTCTCTCTCTCTCTCTCTCTCTCTCTCTCTCTCTCTCTCTCTCTCTCTCTCTCTCTCTCTCTCTCTCTCTCTCTCTTGCCCACGTGCGCGTCCTCCCTTTCACACCGCTTAACAACAACAGATGATGGATAGTCCTTCTCCCGCTCCACCTCCTGCTGCTCCTCCCTCTCTTCCTCCTCCTCCTCCGCCTGCTTCTTCCCCTCCTCCCTCTCCGCCCCGCCCACTGCCTCTTTCCCCCCCGCGCCTCCCCTTCCGCCATTCGATATCGGCGTGCATCAACACGCACACATGTCATCTGAGGTCCCCCCCCCCGCATGCGCCCTTCCCTGTCTTCACGCCCGCGCCGACCTCCCCTCTGCATCCGCCTTTCACTGCACCGTTCCGTCGGCCTCACCTTCGGGACCGCCCCGCCCCTATCCCTGCCGTTCCACGTACCCCAGGGCCTCGTGTCCGCCTGCATTTCACGGGCATGGACCGTTCCGCGTACCCGCGGACCTACCACCCGCTTCCGTTTCCGGTACCCGCTTTGGCCTGGGCCTCACCCCTCCACTGGTTCCCGTACCCGCGTGTGAGTGGGGCTCGACCTGGGCCTCGCCTCCACATCTGCCCCTCCACCGGTTTCCCTTGGGCTCACGACTGTGCATGTCGCTGGGAGCTTTACATCTTTTAAGTGTATAGAGATAGAGATATGTGCAAGTGTGCCACTTCGGCGGCAGACGGGTGTGTGGGCACTTGCCGCTGAACCACACAAATTTGGCCAACCTTGCATTTTTTATTATATTACCTATCATGGTCTGCAATAGGACAAAAGCTGCTTTGATTCTCAATCTACTCATCTCGGTGGAATTGGGGCTGTTGTGGGGAAGATTTAAAACGCACACACACACACACACACACACACACACACACACACACACACACACACACACACACACACACACACACACACACAAAGTGAAGGCAGTCTTACACACAGCAGAATTTGCGGACTCAAGACCAGAGCATTGCAAGAGCCCCATCGCAGGATATGGCATTCGTTGCACAAGTCTCTGCTAAGGATTCAGAAATTCGACGAACACGTTCCATTCGGGAGATTTCCCGCACAGCCCCGCAAAAAAAACTATTCTTGGCTAACTTCTGGTGTTCTTTAAATACCAGTAGGTTGGAGGGGATACTCACACTAGCACTTTCCTAAATGCGTCTGGCCTCAAGTACGGCCAGACATGGATGCATCTGACCGCAATCACGTCCATAAATAAGTAAAAAGGTCATAGTGTGAGTAAGACCTGAGCCTCTTTGTCCCCGACCTGGATTGCTGCTGCACACCGAAAGAAATACGAACGGGAGCGGACAATTTTTCTTCCGTTGTGGCTGGCAATGCCGACCATTTTGGTCCGGCGGTAGGCCGAACCCCTGAGAATGCGGCGGGTAGATCGCCATGCCGGAACAAAATAGCTGGGAGACTTAGTGGTGGGGTTTAAACCACGAGTACTTGAGAGAAGCTCTGTGTGTTATATGTGCTGGCGGTGCCCCCAGCATATCTCAGGGGACAGGTCGACTGTGTGTTTGTTATCCGATGGTGGAGTTTGACGGACGGTGGCCTCCTCTGTACCTGGAGGCGCAGCTGCAGGCAGCTGAACCGATAGGTCGCCTTTGGTACTGCTGGAGTCGACAAACAACCAACAACACCAGTAAAGGTACGGATGTGCAAGGAAGTGGAGATGAGTGCAGGCAGTGTCGAGCATGGTTCGGAGGAGATCGAGTGTTTTTTCAACTTTTTTGGCAAATCCACCGTCCTAATTCTTGGCAATGCACAGGAGTGGTGCTGTTGCTGTAAACATGGACGGAAATCGATCCAGCAGGTAGTCTTTAGGCCAGCAGGAGGAAGGTAATTCCTGTCGGCCACACACCCTACCGCACATTTTTTCACCTGTTGCTATGCTTATCAGTGTACAGAGATTTTCGGAACTTAATGCGCAATAGCACCGGTAGAGGAAGTGCGCTACCTGGCAGTGGAAATGCGCTACAAGAAATGCTGCGCTACGAGAAAGGATGAAGTAAAGGATCTCGTGTACAGAGAGTTTGCAAACTTAGTGCGCAAACAGCACTGGCAGTGCAAATGCACCACAACTTACGAGAAATGCGCTACTAGGAAGCTGTGTAGCATCGTGTTCGGTTTCGGTGACCGAAAGCGAACGAGCGCCGAAACTCTCCGAACGTGAACATAAAAATATTTATAAAAAAAAAAAAAGGTTCTCCAAAAAATATTAAAAAAGTATATGGAGGTATGGTCAAATTCGTAACCAAACTCGAGTTGAAAATCAAAGACCTTTTTTTTTTTTTTTTATATATATGTTCGGCCGAACACGTCGGGTGGCGTTCGGCCGAACACCTGAACATGTTCGGACGTTCGGAAAAGCTCCGAACATGTTTGGTGTGCTACACAGCTAGGAAGTATGAAGTGATTTTGCGTACAGAGAGTTGGCGAACTTAATGTGCAACATCACTGGCAGTGGAAATGCACTAGAAGAAATGTGCCTCGACAAAGAACAAGAGATAGTCAAATGATCTCGTGTACAGAGACTCTGCAAACTCAGTGCGCAACAGCACTGGCAGTGGAAATTTTGCGCTACAAGAAATGCGCTACCAGGAAGTATGAAGTGATTCGAGTTTGCGAGCTTAATGCGCAAACAATACTGGCAGTGGAAATGCGCGATGAGAAAGGATTAGCAATCAGCAAATCCATCGTCCTAATTCTTGGCAATTCACAGGAGTAGTGATCTTGCTGTAAACATGGACGGAAATCGATCCAGCAGGTAGTCTTTAGGCCAGCAGGATGAAGGTCATTCCTGTCAGGCAAACACCCTACCACACATTCCTGTTCGTATGCTCATCATGTGATCTTTTGTAGAGAGAGTTTACAAACTTAACACTGTCAACAGAGAAGAGCACTGGGAGTGGAAACGGGGAAATGAAGGTCAAACCGTCAGACAAAACTGGCAGGACCGTACTCATGGTACGCCCAGGGACTGTTGATAAATAGACCAAGGTTGGAATCGTGATGGAATCAGATGAGTACAAGGAATACGAAAGGAAAAAAGGAAGGTTGGTAACTTGGTAGTACAGTAGTAAGTAGCGGAAAGGATGAGTGACTGGCAAAAATAGCGTCCTAATTCTTGGCAATGCGCAGGAGTGGCGTTAATTGTTGTAAACGTGGACGGAAATTGATTCTGCGGTAGTCTTTAGGCCAGCAGGATGAAGGTAATTCCTGTCTGGCAAATGCCCTACTGCACATTCTACCTGTCTCTTATACACATCTAGATGTGTATAAGAGACAGGTTGATAAATAGACCAAGGTTGGAATCGTGATGGAATCAGATGAGTACAAGGAATACGAAAGGAAAAAAGGAAGGTTGGTAACTTGGTAGTACAGTAGTAAGTAGCGGAAAGGATGAGTGACTGGCAAAAATAGCGTCCTAATTCTTGGCAATGCGCAGGAGTGGCGTTAATTGTTGTAAACGTGGACGGAAATTGATTCTGCGTTAGTCTTTAGGCCAGCAGGATGAAGGTAATTCCTGTCTGGCAAATGCCCTACTGCACATTCTACAGTAGTAAGAAGCGGAAAGGACGAGTGACTGGCGAAAATAACGTCCTAATTCTTGGCAATGCGCAGGAGTGGCGTTAATTGTTGTAAACATGGACGGAAATCGATTCTGGGTTAGTCTTTAGGCCAGCAGGATGAAGGTAATTCCTGTCTGGCAAAGGCCCTACTGAACAGTCTTGTTCTCACATTCATTGAATGACCCTACTCGCACACACACAGAGAGAGAGAGAGAGAGAGAGAGAGAGAGAGAGAGAGAGAGAGAGAGAGAGAGAGAGAGAGAGAAGGGGGGGGGGGGGAGGATGCCATCTAAGTGTAAAAGTACTAAGGACATACTCACATTAGTACTTTCCTAAATGTATCAGACCTCAATTGCGGTGTAACCTGGATGGATCTGACAACAAGCACGTCTAGAGCTGACTAGAAAAAGGTGTAGTGCGAGTATGCCCTAACATGGGGGATATGGGCATGAGAAAGATGTAATGCCCATGTCAGTGTGTCATTGTGGCTTTTATCAGTTTTAAGTTCTAACTTGTTATTTCTATCTTGATATGTCTGAACAAGTCCTTGTACTCTCTTCCGTGGCAGTCATACTTTGCGGTTGGTGTTTTTTGGACCATTTCTGGATTTACGCATGTCACGCTTGTGTGCACACTGGGGCCATGCTAATCTTCTCTGTATCGTTCCAATTTTACCCCGATGTCCTGACAGGCAAAAAAAGAAAAAAAGGAAGGGGGGGACTACTACTTTTGCACTTGTTTGTGCACAAGCTCCTTCCTACTTGTCGTTGCTTTCCTTGCGTTTTGCCTTTATTGTCCTTTCTTTTCCCCATCTTATGGTGTTTGTTTGATGAAAAAAAAAAGGCGGACCATCGCTCGAACACACAAAGTAGGCAAATCAGAAAAGCAGAAAACATATACCAGTCCCGAAAAAAGCAAAGAGTCGAAGGCGAAAAAAAATCAAAACTGATGATGATAAGACTCTTCAGGAGGCTGAACCCTCGGCAATCTGCGGGAATCCCCATATTGATGGTTTGGATCATGAACCCTTTGACCCTTTGAAGGCAGACGGCCCTCCCAACAGAATAAAGCAGCAGGCAGCAACCCAGCGAAGCACAAGGCAACGCTGCAGAGGCAACACGGCTGGCCGGCGCCAAAGACGACTGCAAGGAACTGCATGGCAAGTGGACAAGCCACACGGCAGCCCCGCAGTGAAGCACAAGGCAACACAAGCAAGGCAGCCAAACGGCACGGCACACAAGCAAAGGACACGGAAGGAACGGCATGCAGATGGGCAGCAAAGCAGCAGCGAAAGGAAGCACAACACAACACCAACACCTCCGCCACACCGCCCAGAGAACACAACTGCTTACAAGGAACCACACGGGCAAGCAATGTAGCGGAAGAGCGCAGACGAGGCAGTCCACACAGCCAACGTGGAGCAAAGTGGCACATCATCTGCTCACATCACGATTGAAACCCGCAGACTGTTGGTTCCCACCACCCGTGGATCCAGGGAGGTACTCTGACAGACATCTATCATCACCCGCGGAAGACACAGACATCCCAAACCGAGTGCCACCCCGAGGAGTGTTGTAAGCACTCCAAACGAGGAATGACCGACTGTTTGGCACTGACGTACACAAACTGGTTGAGAGTGTGTGTGTGTGTGTGTGTGGGTGTGTGTGTGTGTGTGTGTGTGTGTGTGTGTGTGTTTGCGTGTGTGTGTGTGTGTGTGTGTGTGTGTGTGTGAATCCGCCGACCTGCTTTAACCTGCTTTTTGGTCGGACGCCTGTCTTTCTTCCTCCTTTTGCAGACTCGAAAGTGAATGTGAAATTGGATTGGGGAGCGAGGTTCAAGATTGCGTCCGAGGTGGCATCCGCGCTGGAGTATCTTCACCATTCATTGGAAAACCCATTGGTTCACCGGGACATTAAGCCGGGCAACGTTCTGCTCACCACCAACTTTACTGCCAAGGTTGCAGATTTCGGCCTTTGCCGCATGGTGGAGCTCGAGGACGCCTCTGATAAGACTCAGCCGGCAGGGACCCCTGGTTATATACCTCCAGAGATTTTCAGCGGAGAGGGCGTGTCTGAGAAAGTGGATGTCTACAGCTTTGGAGTTGTGATACTGGAGTTGCTGACCGGCAAGCATGCTGTCCACAGAAATTTCTCCTTGATTAAATGGGTATGCAGTATGTACACAGAAATTTCTCTCTACTGAGAGTGAAATTTCCCCTTTCACTGTGTCCTGTGGCCTCTTCTAGGGGCCTAGTTGAACTGCTCTCCATCCGCAAGATTTTGAGTGCATCTGGACAAAATCATGTCCAGATCTTGGTGGATGGCGATGCGTGCAACTAGGCCCTAGAACTCTATTTACACCACTCCCTTCAGCATTATTCTTTCTTTGCTTTTCTTTTCTTTTCTTTTTCTTTCTTTTTTCTTTTTTCTTTTCCACATCAGTCTTGCCAACTCCTCGTCACAGTAAGGTGAATGGAAACGTATATGTCAGGTATTTAAAATTTTACACACACTAGGCTGTTTTCCCGGGCGCCTGGGCACCCAACTGCTGCCCGGGTGCACGCCCGGTTGCCCGGCCGGGCATGACCCCCGGGCAGGGTTCCGGGCAGCCCCAGCGCCAAAAAAAAAAAAAAAAAAAACTCAAAAAATTCCGGAAAAAAAATATGTTGTGTAGGATTGAAATGCAAACCACTTTTGGCTGAGGGTCACATTATAATTCCTCACAGAATCGGAGATAAAAAAGAAAATAACAGAATCACACAAAGGACCCCCCTTTAGACCCCTTTAGCCCCTTTAAATCCAATTTATACCCCCCTCCCCCCCCCTTGACAGCCAACTCGCAAAAAACGAAATGAGCCCGGATTTGGAGTCCTCTGGGAGAGTGCAGAAAACCAAAAAAAAAAAAAAAAAAGAAATCTTTTTTTTTTTTTTTTTTTTGCCACGCCCGGGTACCCCGGGCGTCAGACCACCCGAGCGTCACGCCTGGGTGCCCGGCCGGGCAGGACCGGCCGGGTGTGAGAATCTTCCTAGCACACACACACAAAAAAAACAAAAAAAACAAAAAAAACAAAAAAAACAAAAAAAAACAAGGGCCGACGAGCTAGACGGCCTGACTGATGTCTTTAAAGTTTAAACCTTGATGGACAGAGGCATCCACATTCGTGGGTGTTGTTTCTCTTCACTTTCCACATGCCCCTGGCCCGCCCTTGGGCCTCACCGCACCTCCCCGCCACCACCCCTGTATTCATACTATGACTTTACTGGATGTACCTGGACCTGCTGATGGCTAGATTCGGTTGAAATAGTCCTCGTGTATTTCCTAAGTGTTTTGCGGTCTTGGTGATGTTTGTGCATGATGTGGTGCTGCTGTTTTTTTTCCTTCTTGTGGTCCTTCAATTGCTGCAGAAGTCAAAATTATCCTTTTCAAACGTCTCTCTCTCCTTCAATTGATGAAAAGAGTGAAATTTGAAAGTGAAAATGGTGGAAAATAGAGCTGCTCGGTAAACCGTAGGCAGCGAGGGAGAAGTGGACAAGAAACGAGGGGATGTGACAAACATATATGTTTGTCACATCCCCTCGTTTCTTGTCCACGTCTCCCTCTCTGGCTACGGTTTACCGGGCAGCTCTTCCTCAGGGTATCAGTTGTCGGGCAGTCTTTGATGCTTAACCACAGCCGGGGTTAAGGTGGATTATCACTTACAATGTAATCAGTTAGGGGATTCTGCAGACTGTAGAGGGTTCAGCCTCCTGATGAGTCGGTGAAACTCCAATGATACAGTTTGTCACAGCCCCTGGTTTGTTGTCCTCTTCTCCCTCTCTGCCTACGGTTTACCGGGCAGCTCTATTTGACGATACATATATATGGCGATAACCCGACTCTGCATCCCCCACAAGATAGTAATTACACTTGACATGGGCGATTCAATGTCTCTGTTTTGGAGACTGCTTTGATAGGGCGCCGGCTTGATATGCAGCGTGCCCCTTCGGGTGGCGACCCGGACCACTCTTGCGACATCACCTGATTGGCATCCCGATGGGGACTAATTCTGTCCGGAGATAGCTAATTTGACGTTGAATTGGGATGAGGCTCGATTTGTTGATGACCTCCGGCGGCGTGATCTTCGTGCAGCTCAACGGTATGCGTTCACATACCGCTTGATTGATGATGTTCTCTCATGGGGACATCTGCTACCACCGTCAAAGCACTATGGCCTCGAATGGAAGACGACCACAGCGCCTGATGGCTCTTGCACATTTTTGGGTGCACGCCTCCAAGTCCGCCCTGACGATTCCCTGCATATGAGTGTCTTTGACAAAGCAGCTGAATGGAATTTCCCTGTTATTCGTTATCCTAGTGCTACGTCTAACGTCCCTGCACACCAGCCAGCGGGAGTGTTTACGGGCCAGCTTTTACTAGGTTTGAGTATGTTTGCAACAACTGGTATGATTTCAAAACGGCAGCAGCGATGCTGACACGCCGCATGCTTTTTCGCAGGCACTCTCCAACAACGCTTGTGAAAGGATGGACTTCCTATATTCGTAAACGTCAACACAGGTACCCTACGCACGTGACCCGCCTCTCCAGCTGGTTCCGCAGCTTGCTTCGATGGTCTATTCACCACCTGCTTTCTCGGGTATCCACACACTGTCCACGGGCTACGCCTGTCACAACCTCTTCTTCATTACCGGCGCCTGCCACACCTATCATAGCCTCTTCTTCATTACCTGCGTTTGTCGCACTTGCGTCCTCATCAGTCTTAGTAACCCCTTCCATGCCGTTTGTGACCCTGGCGGCCCCTTTTCGGTTCGCAGCCTTTTCCTCATTGGTCGTGATTACTTTTACGATTGATTCCGCGGGAGCAACTCGACCCGCAGCTGCTGTGTCGCCCTTGGTCTCGGTGTGTTCCTCGATGGCATCCTTGGCCACCGCAGCTGTTGTGTCGCCCTTGGTCTCGGTGTGTTCCTCCATGGCATCCATGGCCACCGCAGCTGCTGTGTCGCCCTTGGTCTCGGTGTGTTCCTCCATGGCATCCGCAGCCGTGCTTGCATTACCGCCTGCGAAGTCCCCTCTTCGGGTCTCATCTATGACTGCCCCTCCTGTCTCTACTTCAACCACTTCACCACCGCTGACTTCATCACCCCTGACTTCATCCCCCCCGTCTTCACCGCCTTTATTTCCCCTGGTTTTATCTCCTTTTGTTACCCACCTTCTGACTACTCTACCACCCCTGTCTTTACCACTCCTACCTCCCCTGGTTTTGTCTCCATCGGTTACCCCTCTTCCTAATCTACAAACCACTTCGTCCACACAGACTCGGTCGTCATGTTCTGCCCCTGCAGAAAGCCTACTTTGCCATCCTAGACGTCGGCTTCGGCCTACTTCTCAACCTCAGCTTACTCCCCTTTCCTCCATCTTTGTTCTTGGACAAACAAGAACCCGTTCATTCTCCCCACCACGGCCCTCCCCAACATCCCGTCCCCGTGTTTTGCCGCCCCAAGCATCCTTACCACGCCTGCGACGCTCTTCGACTGCAGACGTTTGTGCAACGCGGCAATCACAAAGTAGGAGGGATGATGGTGAGGGACCATCCAAGGATGAACGTGGCAAGTGGACTGTAGGAGATTCAGTAGAAAATCCACCTGACCGGCCCCCACCAAATCTGTGTGGCCGCGCTGCTACTAACATCTGCCTACAAGCCTATCGTCGGGAACCATATGCTCACTTTGATTTCTTGGCCGTTGCTTCCAATCTTGATGCTCAGGAACGTGAGTTATATGGCGATAACCCAACTCTGCATCCCCCACAAGATAGTAATTACACTTGACATCAGGGATTCAATGTCTCTATTTTGGAGACTGTTTTGATAAGGCGCCAGCTTGATATGCAGCGTGCCCCTTCGGGTGGCCACCCGGACCACTGTTCGCACGTTTGTGCCTATATTCTACATGCTCCTGGTCACTACACCGCTCTTGCTTGTGCCTCTGGTTCTTGGGAATTATGGAATGGCGGTGCTATTGTGCAAACTATTACTGTCATCTGTGATCTCGTGCGTAATTGCCCTAACCTGCAACTGTTCCAGGTCATTGACCCTATGGGTGCCTCGTGTACTTCCATGCCCGTCTCTACGCCTATCTCTGTGCCTGCCTCCGTACCTGTCTTTGTGCCTGTTTCTGTGTCTGTCTCGTTCCAAATTACTGACCCTATGGGTACCCCGTGTACTTCTGTCCCCGCCTCTGCACCTGTCTCTGTGCCTGCCTCCACACCTGTCTCCATGCCTGTTTCTGTGTCTGTCTACGTGCCTGCCTCCATGTCTGTTACCGTGCCTGCTTTAGTCTTCTTCCCCCCACATGCTGCACTAACACCTTGTGACCTCCTTCTTTGTGAGATCACTGACACAGTTACACTTGGTTGTGGAAAGCATCGACGTTGTCGACATCACTACAACCGTATAATTTTTCGGGCCCACTGTCGGCCGGGATGCCACCTGTATCCGGATTGTGAACATCCTCTACATCCAGATGCAGTATGTCCCAGAGCTGGGCACCGGACGCCCAGAGCCGCACCCACCTGCACCCACCCGACCCACAGGGTGATGGGTCGGATTTAGGTCTACATGTGCTGTCTTGGGTGGGTTATAGGCAGGCGCAGCCAGAATGCCTTTCTGGGTGACAGGTGGGTGAAGATGGGTCACCCGCTGGGTGGGTGGCAGGCGGGTGATGGCTTGGCCTGGGTCACCAGACCCATAGACCCAGGATGACCCGAAAATTATGCCCCCCCGCACCCCCTTGTGTAGTACATCAGGCTTGAGGTTGAGAGCCAAAGATAAAATTGCCTGGATTCAGTTGCCCAGGTCCTGATAAAGTAACACCGGTGCGGAAGAGAAAAGCGGCGTGCTCCAGCAGTGCAGCTGCCCCTGGGCAACAAAAAAAAAGTCTCGAGATATTTTCCTTTGAGACGTTCGAGTCTCGTTGTTGATGTTGTCGTTGTTTTAATAATTGGATTTCAGATGTCTTTGTTGCAATGCTATGTTGCTGATGAAATTGTGATCGTGTAAGGGACTGGCATGGGCAGGTGCGGGCTGATGCGGGTGGGTGCGGGTGAAGAAAATTTAGGTATCGGACACGGGCGGGTGATGATACTCTTACGGGTGCGGGCGGGTGTGGGTGAGGGCTTTTTTCGGGTCACGGGCGGATCGGGCGTGGGGCTGAAATTTCGAAAAATATTTTGGGTGGGTGGGGTCGTCTAAAAGTCAAAAATAAAATTCTTGGGCCGGGTGGATGGGGAATTTTTCTTTTTAGGCGGGTTGGGTCGAGGGTGAGGAAAAAAAAAAATTTGCCCACCTCTGGAGCTTCGGCCGGCTCGGTGGGAGGTGGTGGGTAGGTGCTTCGGCCGGCTCGGCGGGGAGGTGGTGGGTAGGTGCTTCGGCCGGCT